AAACTAAAAATGAAGACACACCTCCCACAATGCTTTGCGCGGTATGACACATCCACCCTTCTCCAGCGGCGCGCCTGCTGTGGTTGGTTTCACCTGCTGTGAGAATGTGCGGCCTCCACGCAAAGTTTTTCAGTCGACAGTTTTAACCCACAAAGTCACGAATCTGACCTGAATCCACAGAAATAGGACTCTGTTCTGTTTTCTGGATGTAAGGAGGAGAGTCTGCGCTGCGAGTTCCTGCCRCGGTGTGGGACTGGGAACAGCTGATAGCTGATCTATGCGCACAACTTTACGCAGCAAATATTGCGTCTTGTGTGGCGGGGGAGTCGTCGCAGCCGATCAGAATTGGTGTGCTGGGTTTTTTTCTCGGTGAGAATTGGGGTGTTTCTTTTGCACGTTTTGTTCTCCTCAGCTGTGTGCGCTGCGCTCCCCGGGCCGTGCRCTCTGTGTGTGTTTCCAACTGCGTGGCAACGGTATAGACACTTTGCAGTGGACTGGGAGATCTTTGAGCATTTTTGGGCTGGTCTGTTTTCTTGTCTGGGGTTGGGTGGTTTTCGGTCCCGGGGTTCAGTTTCATCATCGTTCGAGTTTGAACAATAAAAGTGAAACAAAAMMAAAAAAAAATCKMACACGCTGTTAGATTTTTTTGTTTCATTTTTGTTGTTTGGACTCGAGCGATGGTGGGGCTGGGCCCCGGCCGGGACTGAGGATCATTTGGCCTCAGACAGGAGGGTGGATCGGCCTGGGAATGATCGGGGAGCCTCCGGTCTACTGTGGACTGTGGAGTTTTTGTATTGTTGTTGCGTGGTTGGAGTCGCACGCGGAGCGCGCACGGCTGAGGAGTGTGAGGTGTGTGAAGGAAACATTTTGGTTCTCACTGAGAAAGAACTCAGCGTGTTGATTCGGAGCATCTCGGCTGTGGTGGTTCCTCAGCTCCGCAAGATGCAGACAATAGATTTGTTGCTGCGTAAAGTTGTGCGTAATTTATGGATCAATGTCAGCTGTTCTGCAGGCTGATATCACCACAAGAAGAATTGAGGACAGCATGTTTTTTTTAAATTTGTTTGTTTATTTGTATCACACCGAAAAAAAATACAATCAGGTATTTTACTGTAGTTCTGAGTCGAGTCGTGCAGCTGATCTGAATGAGAAACTTCATGATTCCAAAATATAGTAAATCCCACTGCAGCAGAAACTCGCAGTGCTGCGACTCGTTCCTTCACTTCAACTATTTATTAAATATTTTTCTAAGTTCTACCAAAGTCATAAGTTTCTCTGTGTTTACATTTATTAAAGACGTGTAAACGTGGAAATGTCTATCAGCCTCATGCGCTGCTGCAGCACACGCGTGCACACACCAACACCCACACACCTTTGAGCGGCAAACAAATTTTTACACCTGACAGTTTTCTCACTCGTTCATTTCCATTTAATGTATAAATTTCCTGCATCTAAAAATCATTTCTGATCCCACAGAGGACGATCTGAGCTGCAGAATCTCACGCTGAACACATTTACACGTATTTTTCGTTTCCCGTCACAGATGTACCCAGAATGCATCACTTCAGTTTTCCAATAAACAGTTTTAAATTTATTTTATTGATGCGCATCTTTAATGAAAAATCTACAATAAATAAAAGAAAAAGACAAAGAAGCAGCAACCGAACTAGCAATCTCCAACACGTTTTAAAGAAGCACTACTTAGCAATCCTCATAAATTGTTTAATTTTGACACCATGAATGAAATGTCTGTTACAGGAAATCATATCATCAACAAGTGACGGTTGTAGAGTTGAGTTGTAAAAGAGTTCATACAACGCTGGATGGCAGTGTGGTGCATATATAATGCATGACTTATTGCCAGCAACTGGTGTCAAATTGAGCTGCGGAATGAAATTAGCTTTCGCTAATTTTTCTACTGCATGTCCTTTGACGTTGTGGAACTAAATATATTCATTAGCGCTTTCGAAATTGTGGAGCTAATTTTTTTATTAGCGGTGCCCACCATTGCTTACGTGTGCACGTCCTATTGTTTGTGTTTTTTTTTTGTTTGTTTTTTTTTTCCTAGCAGATATGAAGCCAGGAGCAAAACCTTTCTGTCTGTGTTTTTTTTCTTCTTCCTAATCTTAGCTGTGATCGGCAATAAAGCTAATTGTTCTCAACATCACATAACTTGATAACAAAGTTCTTGTGTATGAAAGCCTCCTACTTTAATTATTACAACAAACCTTAAAGAATTCAGTACAAACTGGACCCTATCATCTGTACAGATATTTGAGATGCTGCATGTTTTCATCCATAGTCCTCAAAGGTTTACAGCACACAGGGTGGAGGCCAGGCACGCACAAAGTAATACCTTTCTCTAGTTTTTTTTCTTAAGCATGTAAACTTTTAAACTCCCAGACCAGAGCAGTGGGGAGGTGTAGGAACACACAAAGCAGGGCTTGTTTTCAGAGGAAGAGACAGGGTTTGGTTGGATGAACAGTACCTGCTGTTGTAGAGGAGTGAAGGAAGCCAGGCTGCGGTGAGTGGAGAGGCTTCGTCCCAGACCCACTGATGGAGGAGGCACCACACGTCTCCATCACTGCACTCATATTAGCTTTAGGCTTTTTGTCCCCCATCAGGTACATTTCTTAATATGTCTTCATGCTGGACACTAAAGGCTAGATGTTTGTATGATAAATCAAGCTGAAACAAGATCTGAATGTTGAAACTAATGTCACATTCTGTGTCTAATGACTGAAACTGTGGAAAACACTTGAATTTGTGAAAGATACAGTGGGGAAAATAAGTATTTAGTCAGTCACCAATTGTGCAAGTTCTCCCACTTAAAAAGATGAGAGAGGCCTGTAATTGACATCATAGGTAGAC